GGACCTGCAACCCAGGCACATGTCCGGAATGGAGATGGAACTGGAGACCTTCCACTTGGTGGTACGGCACCCCACCGACTGAGCCACGCTGGTCAGGGCTCGCTTTTACACTTGAATAAAGTAAGATTAGGAGAAATGAACTTAATTTACACGATGACAGATGCAGATTAGAATATCGCAAATTTAACACACTTAAAGTTTAAAATAATTTATGAATAGTGTTTTTCAGTTGTTTTTTCTTGATTGTCTTCTTTCTTGCAAATGCAAAAGATACATGTACTTTAAAAATCCACAATACAGAATGACTATGAAAATTAACAATTATTTTTTTCTATTTATCTTCATCCTTGTCTTGATCCAGGGGGCAAGTGATTTTCATTATGGGTTTTATACTTTTATCAGCCATCTCTGTAAAAGTATAAAAGGGTGTTAATTATTACTTTCCAGCCAAGGCTGAATCTTGGACCTTTTTTGTCTAACCAAACAAGGTTCATAAATTTTACTTTCTACCTGACCATTAGGTTTTCATCTTGAATTTTAATTAATCTACTACTACTATTACTACTAGTAGCAGTACTACCACCACCACCACCATTGCTAAAGTCTTACAAACATTATTAGATGTTGCAAGAAACAGAGGTGTTTGAGGGTATTAAATAGAATGGATGCTACCTCTTTCAAAGAAAGATAACCCACTGCTAATGATAAGAAGAAGAGAGTTGTGTTCACACGTTTAACCAGTTTTCACCGTGATTCGAGATACTGAGAAAGGGAAGCGCTGACGTGAGTGACGTGTGAGGGTCACCCATGCATCCTCTCTTTTCAGAGCACGGTCCTTCCAATCGGCAGCATCAGCCCTGCCGCTGTGACTTGTCCTTTGCGTCTTTGTCCCCTCCTCCCCCACTTCACCATTAGCTTATTCTGCTTTCCCTCCCATCGGGGAAGCTTTTTGTAGTCTTAGGAATGGTGAACACCTTTGCACACATTTTTTCAGCCATTTACCCCCAAAGAGTTCCTGCTTATTAGAGAGTCAAAGACAACTGGGATATTTATATATCAAACCTTTCTATTTGTTTGTGTGAGGACAGCAAAGCTTTCAGCATATCTAGGGGGAGAAGAAGGTTCTAGGCACAGAGTTGCAGGAGAGGAGTGTTAATACAAGAGAGGGCAGGCAAAACACGATAAAGGTTGTTCTCTGAATGTAGCTACAAGAGGAGACTGGAAGTTAACAGTGTTGGGTGATTCTGGGAAAGGGGACAAAGCTCAATGTTAGGGCTGAGGGTGCTGGGCTGCACCAAATCCTGAGATGTGTTGGTGAGAATTGTGGTGAGAATTGCTAGCACTTCTGGACTGTCATGTGTGACCCTAGCAAGACTTTCAGCTGTACTGGGAGACAAAAAGCTTGCAAATACTGAGTTGCAGATGCCAGATGCCCAGAGGTTACCAAATATCCCGAGGTTATCAAATATCCCGAGGAATATAGGAGCAGCAGTGATAACTTCTGCTTCCGGTGGAGGTAAGGGACAGAGACACTGGCATAGCAATTCTACTGCCCATCTGCACAAGAAGGAGCCAAAGAATCCACTTGGGTTGACAATTCAGAAGGAAGTAAGGGGAGGGGTTAACATACACACTCACACACAAGTGTGTGTTTGTATATTCCATTATGTATGACTTGAGCCTAGAGTTCTTGAATTGAACATGTCTTTGATGGATTTTTACTTTTGATTTCAGGAAACTAAGACAAAAAATGATTGATGTAAATTTAATCAGGCATGTTTCTGGAAAATTAGAATAACTTAGAAAATTTAGAATAAATAAAGGTGGTCCCATTATCATAGGAAGTATAGTAATAGTACCAACTATATGTTCTGTTATAATTTTGTATCAATTCAGAACTAAAGCTGAAGGGAAAACCCTTTATTTAGTTAGGATGACTTTATTTACATGGGACAGGAAATAAACAAAATTAGGTTGTTTTTGCTAGTTCTCAAGTGTCAAAAAGGTTGTGGAGAAAAGGAAACCCTCATTCACTGCTGCTGGGAATGTAAGCTGGTAAAACCACGAGGGCAAACGGTATGGAGGTTCTTCAAAAAGTATCAATAAAATTAGCATATGACTCAGCAACCTCTCTTTTGTGTATCTACCCCCCAAATTAAAAACATTTATTCACAAAGATATATGCACCCTTATGCTCATGGCAGCACTATTCTTATGGCCGAGACATGGCAGCAACTGAAGAGTTTCTTAATAGGTGACTGGATAGGGGAGATGTGTACACGTACACAGTGGAATACTACTCAGTCATGAGAAAGATGAAATGCTGTCACTTGTGACAACATGGATGGATCTCAAGAATATTATGCTAAGTGAAATAAGTCACAAAAATTCTTGATTTCACCCATATGTAAGATATAAAACTGAAATCAACAAGTGAAACAAACAAACAGATATTCATAGACACAAACAATAGTTTGGTGGTTACCAGAGGAACAGGGGTGGGGAGGTAGTAAAGAGGGTCAAATGTATGGTGATGGAAGGAGATTTGACTTTGGGTGGTGAATATAATGCAATATACAGATGATGTGTTAGATGTTGTACTCTTGAAGTATACGTAATTTCACAATTTTACTCCTGAAAACTTAATTAAAAAATAAAAATAACTCTTGAAGTCTACAATTTTACCCCTAAAAACTTAATTAAAAAATAAAAAATAAAAATGAATACACTTCATGCTGCAGGCAAAAAATCATTTATAAACTAGTTCTCTTAACTTGGCTTTGCATAAAATGAGAATGAAGAATTTTCATGTCTACAACCTTAGGCAAGAACTTAAATGTTAGCAATTTCTATGGTTCCCTGAAAGAATCTCTATGTACACAATGCAAATGAAACAGATGAAAAACTTAACTTTATGGAAACTGAACAATATAATCATATTCTTCATTTTTTGTTATTTTTGTTGAATAGCCCATCTTTTATGAGTTTCATCTGTAGTGATATAATGCTTGAAAATAAATATTAACAACAACAAAAAGTTATTTGGGATTCGTCTTCATTGGGGGTGAATGGCAGATTTTATTCGCAGATAATTATAGATCAAGGTCTCCACTCTGATGATTAAACTAGCAGTATAATATTCAAATAGATAACAGTAAAAATATAATCCTTAAAATATGAAATCAAATAAAGACACTGGAGCGGGTACAGTTCAAAGGACTTGACGGGAACTGAACAGTGGAGATCAAGTGTGGAGAGAAGCTTTATGGCACCCGAATGAGGCGGCACCAAGGGGCTAGCCCAGACCAGCCCGGGCATTTACAGCACGTGTGTGTGTGTGTGTGTGTGTGTGTGTGTGTGTGTGTGTGTGTGAAACAGTGAGGGGAAATCACTCTTGGTGCCACCTTTTTGACCTTCACCATCCATAACTGGGTTAATGATTGAGGGACCAGAAACATATAATGAAAGATGAATACACCAAGCTCTCTGTGATAAAGAAAAGAAACAAAAATCATAAAACATAAACACAGAAGGACAGGTTTGATTTGAAGTATATTGCATGCTGCTCTGGAGAAACATAGCCTGAGTATCAAACTTCGGGACTTTGGCCAGGTATTAAGCTCTGTTTCAGTTTTCTCATCAGAAAAATGGGTGTATTTAGGTATCTTTATTATTAAGCCATTTTCAGAAGTTAACTATGCTAACGTATGCCAAGTGGTTTAATCTGTGAATAGCACAGGCAAATTATAAATGTTTCTAATTATTAAAAGAGGAAACTTGTTTGTGGAACTTTATTATACTAAGTAAATGTACCTTTGGTATACCCATCTTTTTTTCCTATTTTCTGAATATTTTTAAAAGGTGATTGCCATTCAAACATTAAAAACCCTTTCTCACTTTTTTTTGGTAGAAAATTTGTGTTACACAAGTGTAGTGAGAAGTTCCTGTATTGTGGTTTCCTGAACACCAAGGATATGGCTTAAATACACAGATTTTCTTCACCTTTTGAATGTCTTCATACACAGCTTTCAGATTCTTAGCCTCCAGCTTAATTCTGTGACCCAACACCATTCTTCTTAAACAAACAAACACGGTGACTTGTCCGGAGCAACATTCTCATGGCAGGTATGTCAGCCTGAGTCTTAAATTAAAAGAACAAAACAAAACAGGAAAGGTTTCTCACTTTCTGGCAGGGATAGCTAATCTTGGGGCATGCTTTAAGAAAAAATTATGGAAAGCATTTTACACTTAATTTTATGTCTCTGATTCTTCCATCTGTCACTTAGAGATGATTTTGTGAAGTTTCTCCATCAGGTTTAAAGAGTGACTTATGACAGAAAAGCTCTGAATTCTGAATGAAAGCTGAATTTTCCAGGTTAAATTATGAGCCACTTAATGCTAGTATAGAGTGAATATAGCATGCCAAATATTAATGACACTATAATTACAAGTGCTGCTTAAAAACTTAGCATTTGTGCTGCACCATCCAAAAGCCACCTAGATTTTCACGTTGACCTATTGCGCTGCTGTGAATGTCGGTACTCTTGGGAGTGTGCTGATGTTTACGCAGAATCTCCTAAGGTTGACTTGTTTGAGGGGGAAAGGCAAGTCATATGGGGACTTAGGAAGTGTAGTGCCCTTGTGAAAAAAGGGTTGTTTGTGTATCATAATTCAGTGCACTGAGGAATGAACCCAGCTCCCCAACTACTGCCCGTGCATTGTTTGGGGGGCCTTCTCATCACCCCAGGTGCACCTGCACCTGTGTCTTTTCTTCCCTGAAAGGCCTCTTCAAGTTTCCGAGCACCTGGTCCTTCTCAGAGGGACCCATTCCCAAGTGGCACCAGTGTGATAATGATGGTACATGTTAAATAAAGACGCTGGTCCAAGACAAACTTTCATTTGGTTTCTGACTTGGGTACTTACCAGCTTTGGTACCTTGAGAAAATAACACTATAATGAATTCTAAATTTGCTCTCTACCTAATGGGGATTGTACTGTATCTTGTGGTTTTTGTTGAAAAAAATTAAATTAATGTCTGTTATGTAAGCTCATAAAACAGACTTTAGTGCCTGTTCATCCCTTCTCACTCTATCTCCGGGCTGCTTTGCCACGAGATCTTACATATAAATATTATATACACTTTCTGAGACAGAGCTGAAAAAAAAGATCTGGATAATTTTACTACAGAATAAGGCATACCACATAAAATTTTTAGTAGTGGGTAATGTTCTGAATGGAATGTTTTCATTTCCAATGGCAAGGTAGTTGAGTCATCAAACCAAAGAAAATTTTGGATCCTCTCACCCTGGTTTCTGTTTACAAGAATTTTAGCTCCGGTAGTTGCTCTTTAAGTGATTTATCTACCTCTCTTTCTCTGAAGCTCCTCAGACCACTCCATGGAGGCTGATTTCTGGGATCATAGGAGTAATGTGCCTTGGGCTGACGGCTACTTTGGGAATTTTGTTGAACAATGGTAAGTTTTTCTAGGCAAGTCTATATAAACATCAAGACTGATGAAAGCATTTAATAGTAAAGGTTTCATTTTACTAATGTGTAATAGTGTGTTATTTAATACACCTGTATGTAATTAAGTAAATTTCTTTTTTAAATCTTTATTATATTTTTTCATTACCATCTAGTCCCCTGGTTAAGCAAATGTCTAATAATTTCTTCTAGCATTTACTAAAGGGAATGTCCAGCCAATACCATCTCCAGAACCCACCACTGAACCTCTGGGAGGTAGGTCCCATACTTTGGAAAATATTAGTTTTGTTAGTGTGTGAAATAGTTTTCTATTTTTCTCACACAGAAGTGTGATGGAATATTACACTTAGTAAAATACAAGTTTACCTAATAATCGTAGGATAGTCTCATTTCTTCATCCTGTAATGTAAGAATTATTAAATCACACTGTGCATCATTTAAATGTTTAAGTAATAAGGAAAATATTAGCTTGAAATGACATGTTTTACCTGCGTGAGCGTCCATGTTTAAGTAACATCAATAATAAACTCTAGTGCATGTTAAAACTCATCCTACCTGCCCATATTTGCTCAGAATATGTACACTCATACGTTTATATCTCTTCATCATTGCTCCTATTTCTTGCAGACTCAGAATACACTGCAGAGATGTTTGCATCTGACCCTACTTTTCTATCTTAAGCCAGATCTTACTCCAGTTTTTTAAATTTCTTTTTCCAAATTTTCTTAGTTGTCTCATCATCTTCTGTGATATTACAAGGATTTATTTATCTTTTTGTCCTCAGGGAATTTCCCAGCTTTATTAAGATGTAATCACCATATCACATTGTGTGACTTTAAGGTGTATACTATGTTGATTTCATACACTAACCTCTTGCAATATGATGAGCACCATAGCATTAGCTAATACCTGCATCATGTCACATAATTACACTTGTTAATTCTGAGAACATTTAATATCTACTCTTTAGCAACTTAACAAATGTGTAATACAGATGGTTAACTACCAATGTAATAACAGTATTATGCAGTAGATCTTCGGAACATTAATCTTCTAACTGGAAGTTTGTGCCCAGCTTCTCCCCATTTCCATCACCTCCCATCCCCTGCAGCCCCTGTCTGCACGGCAACTTTAGTGCCATTCACCTGATGAAGACTTGAGTGTGTACCATGTAGTCCTGTGTCTGGGACAAAATGTTCAAGGCGCTGGTTCACTGTAGGATTGGACTTCAAACTAATTGTTTATCTATTTTCATTTTGAAAATAAAATACCTAAAACATATATCATAATTTTTCCAATGTACCATATTCCTTCTGACTAAGGAAATGTGCTAAAATGTCTTCCTCCCTTAAATATCTCTTTTATCTAATTTACTCCTATGTGCACAGCAGAACTCAACTTTTGTTCACTTCCTATACTCTGCTACAGAATGTTTTAACATGCTGTAATTCTTATGTATGCTTACCCAAATTAACATTAAATATAATTAATAATGGTTGAAAAATCATATAATTCTAGTGCTGGCTGTAGAATATAATATCCATGATTCATTCATATGACCATCCTTGGAAGTTTGGTGAATGAAGTAGATTCTCAAAGAATATTTGCAGAAAAAATAACAAATGATTTTTAAGTGAGTAAATAGCACTTAACAATGATCTGCAATGTCATCAGTCAAGTTTTATTTTTTTTCTCTCAGGCTGTGGCTGTTATTCTTGCCAAGAAAAGTGGATTGGATTCCAATGCAACTGTTACTTCATTTCCAATGAAAGAAAAACTTGGGCAGAAAGTAGGGATATCTGTGCTTCTCAGAATTCCAGTCTACTTCACCTGAAAAACAGAACTGAACTGGCATGTATTTAATTCTAGTTTCTTATATTTTCTTTGGCCTAGAATAATATACCATCTAAGTAAGCTGGCTACTTTGATTTAAATCGTTTTTTCAGGTAGTAAATGAATGGTTGTATTTGAACTAATAATGACTTACTAATTTTTTATACCTTAAAACAATCATTATAATACAGGAATAAAAATCAAGATATGTGCCAGATAAAGTACAAGAGGAATTTTAGAATGAGATCAAAGAAGAAATAATAGGTCTTTTTTTGTTGTTCAAAGAATCAACTAAGCAAGTTTGTAATTTCTAGTTCTTTAATTAAATATATATATAGCTGTAATTATGCCACTTTGTCATCTTTCTGGGATATAAGATGGATGAGGAACCTGTACTGAGTAGAGGTAGAATAGGTTATATCCAAGAAATTATTTCTCATGATACTGGCAATTTAGAATCGAATTTGATGGTTGATGTCATGTGAAAGAAATGTTCCATGAAAATCCAACCTATTTATGATGTTTTTAATTCCTTCAAGAAGTGAGATGGTGATCTTTTTCTCCATAACTGAACGGGCCTTTGCAGGTGAAAATGGGTCTTAGACATGTGACTGTACTTTCTAAACCAGACATTAAAGATGATTTCAGTCAGAGTGACTTAGAGTCTGAATATGATTCTGGACATTGACTTTCTTAAAAGGACATTATGCCCAGAGTAGATTCAAATCCGATGAATATGTTTGTCTCTATTTCCACACAGAGTTTTTTAAAGTTCAGTAAAACGTTTTACTGGATTGGACTCTCTTACAGTGAAGAACGCCGTGTCTGGTTGTGGGAAGACGGCTCTACCCTCTCCCCAGATACGTAAGTTCCTGGCAGGCAAGGCTTGTCTGCTCTTTATGAGTTTGTCCTTAGATCTCACTAGACAATGTAAACCTCAGAAACACTGTCTGCAGCATGAGAACACAGAAAAGAGAAACTACACGAGAGAATAACAACTTTAGCATGACCTACAACACCCAAGTATATGCTCAAGCGACACGAAGTTAATTTTATCTGTTACCAAAGAGGTTATGACTTCTTCTTTTTGCTGTGGCACCACCACTTGTGTGAGCAGATTAATAATGACGTAAGGGATAAAAAGCCGCCCTTGCATGCAGAAGATGTCCAGAGAAAACAGGACAGCCATTCTTTTCTTTATTCTGGGGAGACCCAATATTCTCAGCATTCTCTGATGTTTCATATATTCTAGGCTTATATTTTTTTGCATATTTGTAATCTTAAAATCTCATTTCCATTCATAGACATAGTATTTGCAGCATGATACAATGACACATTTTATGCTCTGTTTTCCTAGACTAAGTTAGCAAATGCATTTTTAAACAAAATAGAAGCAAAATTGGTCGTAATATTAAAACTATTCATGACAATGGCAAGAACAAAAATATCTCTGGTCTCAATGATTTTGATTATTGAGACAATAATTGAATTTTAGAAATCTTGTACTTGAAATTGTGAAAAAAAGGTGGCTATTGAATTAAAAAATACAATGACTCAGTATGGTAATATCTCATACATGTGTTGTTTAAAGTTCCATCTTAAAAAAAAACCCTGAACATTTTCATTTTCTTTTCTTATAGGCTAACATTTTATTTTCTTAACAGATTTTCACCATTTTCCATTGTGAACACAAAGAAGTGCATAATGCTGGGCACACAGAACAATGTTTTGGATGAATCCTGTGAGGAACGAAATCCTTACATCTGTAAACAGCAGCTTCTTTAGCTGTTGCTCAGGGCAGAACTATGGGCCGTGAAGGTCCAGTATTACTAAGAACGGTAAGTTTACCTCTTATGTTATTACTGATTCACTACTCCTGGGATGTGTAAAATGTTTCATTTTATATTTTATGTATTTTAGGGGCACCCCTCCCAACTGAAATTTATTAAAAATTGTGTATTTATTCTTCCATGTTTAAACTTCAGTCACCTTCAAAGTAGTTTTCATTTGATGTAATACACCTATTGAAATGTTTTTTTCCACTGCTCAAAACAGCTTCTTTTAAAAAATATTTTATTTATTTTTAGAGAGAGGGGAAGGGAGGGAGAAAGAGAGGGAGAAAAACATCCATGTGTGATTGCCTTTCATGCGCCCCACACTGGGGACCTGGCCCTCAACCCAGGCATGTGCTTTGGCCGGGAATTGAACCAAAGACCCTTTGGGTCGCAGCCCAGGCTCAATCCACTGAGCTACAACGGTCAGGGTTCGAAACAGTTTTTTGAATTCATTGATTTTGATTCCTTTTAATGCTTTTGCCATTTTTCGTTTCACTTCTTCCACATTGGCAAAATGTTTCTCCTTGAGGACTTTGTTCATCAGGGAAACAAACAAACAAGAAAAGCCATGCCCCGGAGAGACAGGGTGAATAGGGAGAGAGGGGCACAGGGGTCAAGCTGGTTTTGGTCAAAGACTGCTGAACATTCAGCCCAGTGTTGGCAGGTGTGTTCGTAAATTAAGCATCATGAAATCGGCAAATGCTTTGAAAGAGTCTTCAAATAAAGTTGACTGAAGCCAAATGCAGCCTTTTACAACAACGTCAGATGGCACAATGATACAGATGGGTTCCTAGAACCCTCACCTAGTGGGGAAGCCTGTACCACAAGCGGCATACCCTTCAGAGGATAATTCCAGGTTTTGGGGGGTCCTTGCTCATATTTGAAAGCATGTTTTGAAATTGATGAAATTTGTTCATGTACTCCTAAAATGATGAAGTGGCAAGATAAATAATTTCATGAATATTTTAATATAATGCACATAACCAATATTGAGTATAATATAGTTTCATGTGTACATTCTGAAATTTTTTCTCTGCCAAAACTTAAATAAAATAATTTACGTTGAATAATATCTATCAACATCATTTCAGGCCTTGGTTTGCAACACTAAATTGGGACTTCCCATCATCATCTCACTTTTCTGGAAGTGAGTTCTTTCTGGATGTATCTGCGCTGGAATGTGGAGCTGGAAGTGCCACCTGACACCTTCCTCATGCGCATCCTCCAGCCTCAGAGGGAAACACGTTTGTGCATCTTTTCCTGATGCTCCTCAGTTCCGTGGGACAGTTTTAAATCTTTGGTCAGATACGGGGTTCTTGTGTGATCGCTTTCAGAGTTTACAAGTGTAAAGGGACTCCAAGCCCTGATCACATACATTTACTATACCTAGTTCTTTATTCTATTTTTTTGGCCTTATGTTTATCAACCAGTAGAAGAGTCACATGTGCATTGAAGATCTTAATATCTAATCAATTCCAAGAACCTTTTCCTAAAACTTAAGTGTAAAACAAACAATTCTTTGTGTGTGTGTGTGGAAGGGGAGGCATCACGTTTTACAGAGGGCTTTCTGAGCATGTTTTAAAAGGGCTGGGGGCACAGTCGGGTCCAACTCCTCCGACCTGAGTGGAATTTTTACAGTCTCACAGGTTTCAAAAGCCACTTTCCTCTTATTTGGTAAATTGTTGTATAGCTACCTTAAAAATTACTATTGACATACCTATTTATTTACTAGTTTTATATTTCAGTTAAATGATAAAAATTAAGAACTCAAGTTGTTTTTTATTATGTAAGGAGCCAGGAAGAGAAAATGAGCTTTTACTTTTTATTTCTCAAAGTATAAATATAATAGGACTACTGCGAACTGAACTCTCTACTTTCCTTTATAAAGATTGACTTAGGCCCTGGCTGGTGTAGCTCAGTGGATTGAGTGCAGGCCTGCGACCCTGAGGATCGCTGTTCGATTCCCCGTGTCGGGGCACATGCCTGGGTTGCAGGCCAGCTCCCAGCAAGGGACGCACGAGAAGCAACCACACATTGATATTTCTCTCCCTCTCTCCTTCCCTTCCCCTCTAAAGATAAATAAAGTCTTTAAAAAAATTGACTTAGGAAAATGCACTTATATTATGAAAAAAAGATTATAACATCTTTCAACTACTGAACTAAGATCACACATATTATAACTCCTGGATATTTTATATGTTTTGGTTTTGTCGCCCATGTGATTTCAAAATAACACATTTAAAATTCAATAAAAATAGTATTGATTAGCTCATAATTAAAATGAATAGTTTTTTCTTCCAACTGTCCCTTACCCCTGACCTCCTCCTACATGGCAATTTCCTCTGGAACTTTTGTTTGTTCCTTTGATTGTCTTCCTGCTTAGCGTGATTTTCTCTGTAATGAACCAAGGATGTTCCTTTTTCAAAATTTCTGTCCAGGATAAATGTCAGCAATGACCTTCATAAACTCAGTGTTTCCGTTTAGCCACACCTGGTGCAGGGTCAGTGACTACTTCTCACACCCTAACCCACAAGGTGGGCAGAGCCCACCCTGCCCTTGTTCTGAGGACTCATGAACTTTCACAGCACAAGGGAGCGATGAGAAAACAGAAGGTGCTGAATATGGGGAATGATGTCTAATTGCAGAGAGTAACCTATGTCAACGTTTGTCTCCATTGAGAGAAGAGAATTCCTGTTGTCTCCCAGTTACAGCTCCGAGGTTTTCCAGCTCCCGTATAATTTCAGAGTACCATGATGGAAAGTTCTGGCTTGAATGGAGGCTACTAGTCACCCATTCAGTGGGACAGCATGGCCTTGTCATATTAGTCACACTCAGACTGTGCCCATCTGACCCATTTCATTTCTAATATTTTCCTCTCACACTTACCTGCATTTTGCTTTTGTTCATCCTGAAAGCACCTTTGCATTCTTGGGGTAGGAAAGAGGTTTTTTTTTTTAAATGAAATGTCTTCTACCACATAACTTTATATTTTTATGTTTCCGACATAAGATTTTTGATATATTCTCTGGGGAAAGACACTATTTTCACTCTTTAGTTCTCTATTTCTTGTTGTTGTTTGAAATAGGCTAGCACACATGGAAGGATTTAGTTGAGTGAATACCTCAGTGTTAGAGGTAAACCAGAAGGACTAGGGCGAGGAGATGTTATGGATGAGAGCGAGGCCCGAGGCAGGAGGCCCCGTCCCTGGGCTTGGTTCTTGTCTCACTGCAAAAGGCTAATTCAAGTGAGAGACAAACATGCATATAGGAAATGAGATAGCAAGTTTATTTATGAAACACATCAGCACAAAGCTGCAGGCAGGCACCCAGCTGGTCTGAAGGCCCCACGTGTAGAGGAAGTAAAGTTGTTAGTAGGTTTGTTCTACACATTTGAACCGAGGCTGCAAGTGGGTATTTAGCTAATCGAAGTTCGCTGACTATTGGAGTTCAGGGGTTGTGTACCTTAGTCAGCTTCCAGAGGCAGCCCTCCATCTTCCCCTTCTAAATCTTGGGAATAATGTACAGCGACAAAGGCTTTCTTTCTCAGTGAGTAAAAGCTCTTTGTCTTAGTGAAATTGTTACAGAGGCCCCCTTTCCAGCATAGTCCCCTCCTCGTCCTGTGCCATTCTCGCTTGTACCTGGCAATTGTAGTAAGATTTTGATGGAAACTCACAGGAGCTCCCCTTTTCCAGTATCAAGGACTCCCCTTCTCCTGTGCTATTTTTGCTTGTGATGCTGGAGGCACCAGGCAATCTTACCATACCAGGCTCAGGACTGCTGAGTAGACCGGTGAGACATGACTTCCTTTTGCTTCCAGCCTCCTGTATTAAGTTCTTTGTTAGATTGTAATGGCCACGGCCCTGCCTTTATTGCCCCTCGGTCAGCTCATTCCTAGCTGCTACCTATCAGAAATGTCCAAGAAGCACACAAAATAACAAAATAATATGGCAATAATTGGTGTGTACTTCCTTAATTTTATCCTGTAATCCTAACTATGTAACCCTGAATGTATATAACACACATTGCGTGTGGGTTCCCGACAAATTACGAGAAGTTTAGGAACTTAAAACTATGAACGTTTATTATCTCTTACTGTCTCTGGGTCAGGAACTGAGCACGACTCAGTTATTTCCTTCCTTGTGGTTTCACAGCCTCCAACCAAGGCTGCCTTCTAATCTGAAACTCAGATTTCTCTTTCAAGCTCCTTCAGGCCCAGGCATAATTCAGTTCCTTCTGGCTGTAGGACTTCCCAGAACCCCCCACTCCATAGGCAGTCAGAACACGGCTGCTTGAGTCATCAAGGCCAGAAGAAGAGCATCTCTGACTCCTCTCCTGTCTGACTTGTACCGTCTCTTTTAACTGTTCACCCGATTAAGTCAAGTTCATCCATAATAATATCTTTTGGATTAATGAAAAACTGGCTAATGTGGAACCTTAGTCACATCTTGAAAATAGCTTCCTCTTTGTAATTTAATGTATTCTAATCACAGAGTAACATTCCATCATATGGGTGTACACTGGAGAAATTGTCGATCTGGTTCCAGACCACTTTAATACAGCAAGTATTGCAGAAAAATAAGACTTCATCTTTTTGCTGGTACAGGGTCTTGCCTTCTATTTATAAAAAATGCTACACTTGCAAAGTGCAATGAAGCAAAGCTCAACAAAAAGAGGTATGCCTGTGTCTGCAAACCCCACTGAAATTAAAGGGGAGAGAATTACATAGGTGTCCACCAAGGCATGGACATTTGGGCATCAGCTTGGAGCTCTGCCTACCATACCAACAGACCCCTAAGATGTTTTTGCTGCTACTTTAGAGTTCATTGCATTTAAATGCTCCTTTGATTTCTGATCAGCAGGAATTTGCTTCATGTGTGCCAGGACAAGGAATCTTATTTGAGTTACCCCGATATATTTTCTTCATTTAAAAATGTTATTTTTCAATTACAGTTTACATTCCATATTATTTTGTATTAGTTTCAGGTATATAGCATAGTGGTTAGGCAATTATATGTTTTATAAGTGTTCCTCCTTATAATTCTAGTATCCACTTGGCACCATATGTAGTTTTACAATATTATTGAGTACATTCCTGGTGCTGTACTTTACATCCTTTTGGCAATTTTGGGACTACCAACCTGTACTTCTCAGTCACCTCCACTCTTTCATGCCGTCCCCAACCCCGCCGCCCACTGACAGACCTCCCTCTGTCCTCTGTACCTTTCAGTTTGTTTCCACTTTGTTTGTTTATATTGTTCTTTAGATTCTGTATATAAATGAAATCTTATGGTATTTGTTTTTCTCTGACTGAACTTTTCGATTAGCACAATACCCTTTATGTATTTGTCCAAATGGTAGTATTTTATTCTTTTTTTGTGACCAACTAACATTCTATCATACCCCACAGTTTTTTATTCACTAGTCTCTTGATGGAAACTTGGACTGCTTCCTTGTCTTGGCTCTTGTAAATAATGCTGCTATGAACGTAGGGGTGCATACATTGTTTTGAATTAGTGGTTTGGGTTTTTTAAGACATACACCCAGAAGTGGAATTGCTGGGTCATTAGACAGTTACATTTTTAACTTTTTGAGGAAACTCCACACTGTTTTCCACAGTGACTGCACCTGTCTGCATTCCCACCAATAGGGCATGAAGACTCCCTTTTCTCCACATCCTGGCAAAGGCTTGTTTGTCAATTGATTGATGATAGCCATTCTGACAGGTGTGAGGTGGTAGCTCATTGTGGTTTTATAGTTCCCCGATATATTCATTCTTAGGTACTCCATTAGTGACATCCAACTTTACCCAATAGAGTTATTTTATAGTTGGGTAGATACAGCTTTTGCTTATCTCCAGAAATGCTGGAGTGTCATTTTTGCTTCTGCATATCATGGTAAGGACAGTGAGCTAAAAAACTAATTATTTATTGTAAGTTTTTTTAAAATTCAAAAGCCTTGAGTGGAACCTGGAGCCGATTTGTTTATTGACAACTTGTGGTGGAGGTAGCTGGTCAGACATCCTGTCTCTTTATACAACCAGCCTCTGCAGGAAATTCTGCCCAGTTGCTCCTGAGGCCCAATTTCATCAAATGAATATTAGAGCAAATGTCAGCAATTTTATCCATAGAAAAATTACATCTTCGTGTGAATAAGAAGAACACTGGGAAGTTTGTCCCTGGGTGTTTCTCAGTCTATTCGAGTTCTCTTTTTCCTGCTGTATCAGACTGTTTGCCCTTATTAAAAGCATTATTTTCAAACTGTACATTATTGGAAACTTCCCAGTGTTCTTCTTATTTACACAAAGATGTATTTTTCTAGGGCTAAAACTGTTTATATTTTTAAAATATTTATTTGATGAAATTGGGCTTCAGGGGCGATCAAGCAGAATTTCCTGCAGAGGCTGGTTGTATAAATGAGACAGGATGTGTGACCAATTTTCTCCAGGGTAAGTTGTGGAGAGCATTATGCTAAGTGAAATGAGCCAGTTGGTGAAAGACAAACACCATGGGATTTTACTTATAAGAGGAATCTGATGAACAAAATTAACTAACAAGCAAAATAGAAGCAGAGACATAGAAACATGGACTGACAGTGGTCAGAGGGGAGTGGTGGGGGGATAGTGGAAAGAAGGGGAAGGGGCGAGTCAGAGAACCTGCGTGAAAGACCCACAGACATAGACAATGGTGTGGGGCTGACTGTGCCAGTGAGGGTTCTGTGGAGCATGGGCTGGGCAGAGGGGAGCAAAGGGGGGGAAAGTGGGACAACTGTAAAAGAATAGCAATGAATGTTAAGAAAAGCACAAAAAAGCATTATATGAGTATGCTCATTGAAGCCTTATATTGTCTTTAAATTAAATAAGCCTGGACATACTTAGAACATTTAACCCTTGTTTTAAATTTTCATAATTTTGGAGCTTTTGAATGTTTTCTCTTTATATCAAAGCACATGGGTTGCACAGCATTTTCTACAAAATGGGATTGTAAATGTTTTTTAACTTTGTGAGCTAGTCTTTGTTAAAACTACTCAGCTCTGCCAAAGAAGACACAGGTAATATGTAAATGGAGGGTTTAGCTGTGCTACAAGGGCATTTAATTAGAAAAACCTCAGAGGGACAAATTTGCTCCACAGGCCATAGTGTGTAAAATGAGATTATGCAAACACCAACCCTGCTCTCTAGGTTGCCTTGTCCTCTTTTAGGTTACATAGCAACAGTTGTAAATGTTGCTATGTA